TTGGTGATGGACAGGGAGGCCTGGCATGCTGCAGTCCATGGGGTCGCAAAGAGTTGGACATGACTGTGCGACTGAACTGAACTGAATTGAAAAATACAGTATAAAAAGAAATGGTTAACTTCTAAACTGGGAAATGTATAGATTTTTAAAAATTTTCTCTGATAACCCTGTGGCCAGTATTTAAAGCATTTTAAAATAAACTCATCACACTACTTTTTTCAGTAATAATTTTCTCAGTGCTGCAATCACATCCTTGTTCCGAAGGCTGTATATCATGGGATTGAACATAGGAGTCACTATGGTGTAGAAGAGAGAGAGCAGTCTGTCAGTCCCTGCAGAGTGTCTGGATTTGGGCCTTAAGTAGGCAATGGTAGCAGATCCAAAGAATAAAAGCACAGCCAACAGGTGAGAAGAACACGTGGAGAAGGCTTTGGCTCGCCCTCTGGCTGTTGGCAGCCTCAGAATGGTGCAGATGATTTTGCTGTAAGAAGCAAGGATCAATATGAAAGGTACACCAACAAATAACAGAGCTACTGCATAGACTGCCAGCTCTTGCACAGAAGTGTCTCCGCAGGCCAGCTTCAGAATGGGGGGCATGTCACAGAAGAAGTGGCTAATCTGGTTCGAGTGACAGAAATGCAAAGAAAAAACCTGGCACGTTTGCCCTATCTGCACTGGGATTCCACTGACCCAGGAGCCCACAGCCAGCTGGAGGCACGTCTTTGGGGTCATGACCAGGGGATAGTGCAGAGGGTCACAGATGGCCACAGGGCGGTAATAGGCCATCACTGCCAGAAGGAAGCACTCGGTAGCTGCCAGTACAAGGAAGAAGCACATTTGGGCAGCACAGGCCAGCACAGAAATGCTCCTGTCCTGAGTCCAAAGGTTCACCAGAATCCTAGGGAGAGTGACAGACATGTAACAGATTTCCAAGGAGGAAAAATTTGCCAGGAAAAAATACATGGGTTTCTGCAGAGCTGGGTCAATCCAAGTTATTATTATTAAGAGGCTATTTGCAATTAAAATAATGGTGTAAGTGATGGTGAACACCCCAAATAATGACGCTTGTAGGTTTGGAAGATCAGAAAACCCCAGTAGTGCAAATTGGATCACTGTGGACATGTTGTCTTTTGCTTCCATCTCTTCATATTTCTTCTGCGGGAATGATTCAATCAGAGGCACTGTCATTTCATTTTTATTGACTCTTGTTTTTTGTGTATAAACTAGATTATATGTCTTCTTACTTTACATTTCCCTATAAAAACCAAACTTATAATGCCAGGTGCTCTAGAAGTACAGAGAAGTATACCTTTTTTTTTTCATTTATTTTTATTAGTTAGAGGCTAATTACTTAACAATATTGTAGTGGTTTTTGCCATACATTGACATGAATCAGCCACGGATTTACATGTGTTCCCCAACCCAATCCCCCCTCCCGCCTCCCTACCTTTATTTATCATTAAACCTATCTGAAAGAAAAAACTTCAGTTTCTGTTTTCTCTACCCTATATTATTTTATTGCTTTGATTCTGAAGATGNAACTTCAGTTTCTGTTTTCTCTACCCTATATTATTTTATTGCTTTGATTCTGAAGATGCGTGATTGCAATTTTGCTATTCATCTGAGCATTTAAAAATTCAAATTGAAAAATGAGTTGTAGCAATGATTTCATGTTTTCAAATGACATGCTATTTTCACCTCTCTATTCTGTTTTCCATTATTATCAATTCAAAATTAATATTATTCCTGTAAATATTTTGTAAGCCACTTAAAATTGTTTTGGGGGTAAAGATAGTTAATTTTTAAAATGATGATCTTCCAGTGGTATTTCTAAATCTTGTTTGTCTTTGACATTACACATATTTAGCTCTTTTACTATAAAATGAAGTTAGTGAGCTGACCATTGAGTATTATGGGATACTATTTATCATTTAAAAGAGTGTACTTCAATGTAACGTCTATGAAAGCAACAGTCATAGATTTTTTTTTTAATATCTAATTTCTCTTTTTATTCGTGTATTTATTTTAGTTTGGCCACATGGCATGTAGGATCCTAGTTTCCAGACTAGGGATCAAATCTGGACCCTTGCAGTGGAATCAGGGAGCCTTAACCACTGGACCACCAGGGAAGTTCCAGTAGTCATAATTTTTAATTCAGATTTTCCAACTTGGAGAAAAGAATCATTAAGCTGATCTTTCTGTCCAGGAACACCCAAGAGATAAGAAGTAGGTACATCTGGCACTTATGTTCCAGTAGGGGTTCTAACTAGAATGCTCACCTCTCACATACTTACTGCATGAAAGAACCATCAGCCACAATTCATCTCTGAGATCTTCCTAAATTACTCACATCCTTGATAATTGCTGTTGTTCTGCTGGCCCCATTTAATTCATTAATACTTGTGGTTTTTTTTTTTTTTTTGCATTTTTGTGTATGTTTGTTTATGTGAATGTGAATATATTGAGTTGAGGTTGCCCATCTTTGTTAAGTACTTGTCCTTTGCTGTAGCTAGATCTTAAGCTTCTTGTGATATTCTATACATCTTTCTATGGAGTATATTATATATTTTCTCACAAAAGCAATTTCTTAATTTATTGAATAAATTAAAATGAATCAACTTGATTGTTTCTTTACAATAGTCCCAAGATGTAAGTGAGGATTTGTACCCCAAATTCAGAACAAGCTCCTGTACCCTCCTGTTTTATTTACTTATTTAATTCAATGTAGACTGTGTACTTGTATACTGATTAAAATTGCTTGTTGAAAGAATCATCAATCTTTTTAGACCAGTACAGTTCCAGGGTACCTTCTGTAGAGTGTGTATATCTAGAAATTATACTCTTTTCACCCACTCTTGTAGAAGTTACAAATTGCATCATTGTTTTCAGTATATCACACATAACTTTCACGATATGTCTTAACTAATTTGAAAGTTCACAAAGACAAAGCCACTGCTAAGAGAAAAACCTGTATCCATATTCTAACAGTTTTAAGTGAGGACGAGGGTCAACATTTCAGCTACGGAAGTGTAGACACACATGTGGGGCAGAAGGAGCAGTCCATCCAAAACTTGAGCATCCCGAGGAATTCCTTTTCCCCAGGGACGGGGGAGCCTGGTGGGCCGCGTCTCTGGGGTCGCACAGAACCGGACGCGATTGACGCGACTTAGCGGCTGCAGCAGCAGGAAAAGGAAAGCTAAATAGGAGTCTGTTTTATCATCTGCAATATTTCAGGCTACTCATATATATTTATATTTTACATATAATATACACTAAGGATCAAAAGGTATTTAAACTTAACTCATTATTATAGAATTTTCCCAATGAAAATGTGATTTTAAGAAATATAAAAATGCTTTAACTGAGTCTTTAAAATGATCAGAAACGGAGGTCTGATAGGTGACATTATTAAGATATGATTTTATGTGTATAAGACTATGAAACAGTGCCTATTTTTTTCACCAGCTTATCCTGACACCTTTATCCATGTTTATTCACCCATTTAGTTCAATGTAGAGTGTAATACTTGGATACTGATTAAAACTGCTTGTTGAATGAGCCCTCGTCTTTTCAGTCCAGTAAGCACCATGCCCTACATTTGATGAGTTAACCTCTGCCTTCAGAAACTCCTGTCAGTTGTTTTCGTTTGTTTGTTAATTTAATTGTATCTTCTTTTCATAAAAGGTCTTCTCTCATTTTTTGGACTTCTATCTAAATTATTCCTTTCTGTTCAAGTAGGACAGTACATTTGAATATCCCTAGGTCAAGAAGATTTCCTGGAGAAGGGAATGGCTACCCACTCCAGTATTCTTGCCTGGAGAATTCCATAAACAGAGTAGCTTGGTGGTTACGGTCCATGGGGTCGCAAAGAATCGGACATAACTGAGCGACTAACACTTTCACTTTTTCACACAGGGTAGTACATTTGCAAATCATACTGAAACTCAGGTTCAAAAAACAGCCAAAAGAAGTCAAAAAACAGAACTTGCAATCAAAAATACAATGTTCTTAGTTTACTGAAAACTTTCTTATTCTTAACTTTGCTTTTCTTTGTCAAATGGAGCAAAATTTTATGAATCTTAAGTGGAATTATCAATGTAAAATCATATTTAAATTAAGAAATATTAAAGTTATTCAAATCCTACCCACGTTATGCTTAGTTTTATAAACTCAATCTCATCAAAATTTTTCTTCTCAAATCTTGCAATGTTGGTTTCCAACTTCCAGAAACCTTTAGATAGTACTACTGTGACACTCAGAAAGAAGAGCCACTAAATTATCCAGCTTACATAGTCACTTTTGTTTTTATCCAAATAACTCATGTTTGCTTTTCTGGTCTTTCCACTGTGTGAGGATTATAATAAGCAAGTACATCATCTATCGTTAAAATGTATGTGGTGCTATTGAAAGCAGGTTTGTAAAATCAAATTGAAGATAGGAAGTAAAAGTCTAAAATTGGTGACTCCAGAAGTCTAATTCCTTGCGTGCTACAGCCCATGGGTTCACAAAGAGTCAGTCACAACTGAGCAAATGAACTGAACTGAACTGAATTCCTTATTTGAAGTTTCTAAAAATTAAAATGAAAACATACCAAAATCTCTTCCATATTGTCAGATTCAGTTACCATAGAAGTTATTTTTAACAAACAGTATTTTATGTTAATAGGATGCAAAATCCTTTTAATAAAGTTCATTTATTATCTTATTCCTTAGTTATATACAATTAATTTTAATGAGATATCACAGGTTTAATACATGCAAACTTCTTAAATACATACTTAACACATAGCAATCACTTAATAAAGGTTAGCATTTAAATGATTATGATAGTGATGCAGAGGTTGGTAAACTTTGGTATAGTGGCCCACTATATTATAAAGTACTTTTGTAATTTTTTATTTGATAATATAATAATGTGCATCAGAAAATTTAAAAGGCTATCTGAACCAGGGTTTTGAAATTAAACAAGAATAAGAACAAAAGTTTCCTTGCTAAATTTTCTGAAATGAGTGTTTTTTGCCTGATGTTACATATAAATAGGTACATTTAAAACTAAATTCGACATTGGACAAAAATGAGTCATGCTTACCTGTTTAGATTGAAGTTAAATACAACGCTTGCCTTTATTAATTGAGCTATTGAGTTAAAAGCTGATAGAAACTGTGAACGTTTTGTGTGTGTGTGTGTTTTTTTTTTTTTTTGGTAGTTAGGTAATTTTTGACACCAAGTATTTGATACCAGGCTTAACCACCCTCTAAAATATCTTCTATCTTCATAACAAATAGTGCTCTTTAAATAGGAATTATTCTTACTCTTGGGATCAGCTTCTTCCCCAGGTTACTTTCTAACTGAACTAAACCTTTCTGCATGCCACTCAGGAAGTTTGGTACAACAAGCAAAACCATACCTGTCTATACCACGCTTTCTCTAAATTCTCCGTCTCTCCTCCTGTATTTTGCAATTATTAAGAAATATAAGCATTGTAAAGCAATGATTTATGATGATTGATATATTATTTTTATAAAATAAAGATGGTCTAAAAAGATGCAAATATACACTGCGTTACAGGGATTTTGCTTTTCTCTCACTAAGTGTTCTGCGGTAAGAAATCCAGGACGGTGGGGGTAGCTGTGTCATCTTCAATATGGATCTTCCATCTCTAGGTCCACATGAGTCAGGCAGTCCTCAGTGCCTCCCGGACGACAGGTGGATACAAAGGAATGCTCACTCACTCCTTTTTAGATGTGCAAACTGGAAACAGAATCCGGAATTTCCAGGCCTGACCCCTCATATCAGCATTAGTCACAATTTCACACTGATCTGGGAGAGAGGATGCAAATACTTCTAGCTGTGCTGCTGTGTGCCCAGCTCAGACTCCCGTTTCTCTCGGCTGCCCTCACTTGTCACAAAGTATAACTCCAAGAAGTTACTATATTGTCTCCCCAGCCAAGGATGCCCTCAAGTTAATTGTGGCAACTCTCAGCACAGAGAGCATCAGGTAATAGAACAGTATTTTCTGTACCACGCCCTACAAACTCACAGACACAAACTCACAAAATACAATGGAGAAAGATATTAGATTTAACTATAGGGAGTAGGAATAGATTTATACTCTTGTGAAGATTAATAAGACATAGTTTAGAAATCTGATGCTCATGCACTGAAAGCTATTCAAGTGTTATATATGTA